TCAGCAGAGAGGAGGCCCTGGAGAGGGTGGCTCCTCTCTGCAGGCAGGTCATTCAGATGTGTCTGCAGCTTGCAGGTCTCTGAAGCTCTCAGCAGAGAGAGTAGCTCCTCTCTGCTGGCAGGTCTTCTCCATAGCATTCAGCAGAGATAGTACTCCTCTGTGCAGCTGGTCAGCCTGTGGTATTTCTGCCCTCTTTATCCTTTGGCCATCCTCTGCCCTGCTGTGGCTGAGCCCAGGGCTTTTATGGACCTCAGAGGGGACAAAGTTTGTGCTAATTGGCCCACGGGTGGCCCTGGAAGAGCACCACAAGTCCCCACTCTGGTCCACGGGACTGGCAGCCTAGCACCCAGCCTTCAGGTCTTCCCGAGCCCAAAGGTGGGGACTTACTGGGGACCTGCCCCCGTCCACCCAGAAATCAATCTGCCTCCTGCTGCCATTCATAGCCCCCAGGCTTGGCCCCAAACCCCACTCCAGGATCAAAGCAGGTGTCAGTAGTGGAGAAGGCAGGCAGACACCCCCGAGCCTTCAGGGACGAGGGAGGGTCCTTCCTGGGGCCCCTGAGGGTGCAGGCTGAAGAGACGCCTGGCTCCTGCACCTTGGGGGGTAGCTGCAGTGGCACCCAGGAAGGTAGATCCTGCTTGCTCCTGGCCTTCCCCCAAGAGCACGGAGAGGCTAAGATCTACTGCTACAGTTTGGGCAGCTGTAACCCAGACCAGGAGGGTGGGGCTCCTGCCTGCTTCACAGAGCAGGAGGCCTGGATCTGCAGTGGCACCCCAGAAGCTCACGGCACCCAAGGAGTCCCCGTCCCAACTCAGAAAGGGTGGAGCTCCCACTGGCTCCATGGAGAGTGCAACCCCAGCTGCACAGCTGGCATGATGGCAACAGCCTCTGCCGTCACCAGCACTTTGGGAGGCTGAGACAGGAGGATCATTTGAGCCCAGGAGTTCAAGACTAGCCTGGGCAAGATGTTGAGATCCCATCTCTACAAACATTAAAAAAAAAAAAAAAAATTTAAAATTAGCCAGGCATAGTCGCCTATAGTCCCAGCTACTTGAGAGGCTGAGATGGGAGGACTGCTTAGGCCCAGAAGTTTGAGGCTGCAGTGAGCTATGATCACACCACTGTACTCCAGCCTAGGTGACAAAGAGAAACCCAGTCTCTATTTAAAAATAATAATAAAACCAGGCACAGTGGCTCATGCCTGTAATCCCAGCACTTTGGGAGGTCAAGGTGGGCAGATCACCTGAGGTCAGGAGTTTGAGACCAGCCTGACCAACATATAGAACCCCATCTCTCCTAAAAATACAAAATTAGCTGGGCATGGTGTGGCATGCCTGTAATCCCAGCTCCTCGGGAGGATGAGGCAGGAGAATCGCTTGAACCCAGGAGGCGGAGGTTGCAGTGAGCTGAGGTCGTGCCCCTGCACTCCAGCCTGGGTGACAGAGTGAGACTCCGTCTCAAAAATAATAATAATAATAACAGAACTAAAAGAAAGTAGATAAATCCAATATTACAGTTGGAGACTTTAACACTCTTCTTTCAACAACTCAGACTTACTAAACGCAAAGTCAGCAAGAATATAGAAGAACTTAACAATATCATCAGCCAATCTAATCGACATTTATAGAATACTCCAACAGCAGAATACACATTCTCAAGTACCTATAGAACATCACTAAGCTATACCATATATGGGCCATAGAAGAAACCTCAACAAATTTAAAATAATTGGCTTTTGTTTTGATTAAGAGACAAGGTGTTGCTCTATTGTTCAGGCTAGAGTGCTGTAACAATCATAGCTAACTGCAATCTCCAATTCCTGAGCTCAAAAGATCTTCCCACCTCGGCCAACATGTGGGGCTGTTTTAAATTCTTTGTAGAGACAAGATTCCATTATGTTGTCCAAGCTGGTCTCAGACTCCTGAGCCTCTCAAAGTACTGGTATTACTGGCATGAGCCACCACATCTGGCCAGCATATTTTTTTAACCATTGTGTATCCTATAGATAGGATGATGTTTATTATGGATTTTGAATACCACATATATGGCTTGCCAAAAAATTAGAATTCATCCCTTCTACTCCTATCAAATTTTCCTATAGCACCAAACTCCCAGCTATGGCTCTTCTGCAAGACTCACCTCTAGTAGAGAGAGCTACCATTGACTCACTGGCCTTGTATGACCAGTTCTATCTGAGCAGCATAGCACATCACTGTGCCCAGTTTATAGTAATGTCATGGGATTGTTGGGATGTCGCTTTTCCAGCTAGAAACCTCTGTGGCTAGTGGTGCCTTTGCCCAAGTTTTGCTGAGGCCCACTGTGCTTGTTCCACCCACTCAGCCTGTACTCTGCTTGTGCTACTGGCCTGGATCCCACACCTGCCATGTGCAAACCAGGTGTGGAGCAGCAAGGGGTGTGTGAGCACAGAGTCTGGCCACACTGTGCACAGCCAGGCATGCTGGCTGCAGCAGGCATGTAGCTCCAGGTGCCAGCTTTGTGAGAGGTTGTGGCTGGACCAGGCATACTGCAAGCAACTTCCACTGAAGGCACCAGGGAATGTGGTGGCACCTGGGAGCTTGGAGATGACAGGAATTACAGAGCCCCAAAGAGGGCATCATAGCCCTAGCTCTGGGAGCCCCTAGGTCTGGGATCCCCAAAGGGCCACAGCTCTTCTCTTCTAGTTGCCGGCAAAGTGACAAGCAGTGGAGTTGAGGAGCGGGCATATTTCAGCCCTGTTTATGTTACCATTCTGTGGGTCCTGAGTTCTTGTCCACATCCAGGAAGAATGAGGTACACACACAACTGGAGGAGAGGGCAGAGAGGAGCTTCATTGAGCAACATAACAGCTCTCAGGAGACCAGCAGTGAGAAGCTCCTTCCCACAGGCAGGTTGATTCTATGTCTCTGTGAGACTGGCTGAGCATGGGGTTTTTATGGGCTTCAGAAGGGAGGAAGTGCATGCTGATTGGGCCATGGATGGCCTGGAATAAGCATCCTAACTTCTCATTCTGGGCGATGGACTTCACCCAGAAGTGACAGAACAGTGCCTGGGCTTCAGGCTGTCCCTGGCTTGAAGGGAGGGCTTCACTGGACCCACCCCTTTCCACCCAGGAGCCTGCCTCCTGCCACCATCAATAATGTCATCCATGGCACCCAAGCTGTTCCTGCTGAGGGGCACCTGCAGGCTCCTGCCAAGCTACCCTCAAACTCCCCTCAGCCTCCCTCCCATGGTTGTCAGTCTCCAAAGTATGGAGGGGTCCAAGGTGGCAGGGGACTAGTGTGTTAGTACCACTGGGAAGGCGTGCACATATGGGTGGGTCATGACAGGGCTGGGCTTGGCCTCAACATTGCTCTAAAACTGGAGTGGGTAGAGGCTAGGCAGTGGGAGCAGGCATTTCTGAGCCTGTGGTGGCAGTGAGGCTACCTAGGCACCCAGGAGCATAGGGATGCTTGGGTCTACAGCTGTGGCTGTGTAGCTGCAGCTGCACCCAGGAGGGCAGGGACCTGTCAACTTGGAAGGAGGCAGGGCTCCTGCCTGTTCCCAGCTCTCCCCAGCTCGGTGAAGCATGCAGCCTCACCATACCTCCTCAGCTGCAGCCAGTATCTTTGCAGTGCCCACTCCAGACAGTAGGTTCTGGAGGTTCCCACTCTTAGCAATAACTGGAACACATTGTGCTCAAGACATCCCTGCCCCTGCTCACAGTACTAAGTGGGAGACACATCTGGCTTTTCCTAGGTCTGACTGAATCCTGTCTTAACACCTGTAGAACAGAGGTCATGGTATCAACTGACATGCTCCTCCTTATACTCCTGAAATTCCAGAATCCTTGGAGCTACTGTGTATGGGACTATGTGGCTTTCCCCTATCCCATCCTGTATAGCCAAATCTGTAAGGCCTGGCACCAAGTTTGATGGATGCCCAGTCTCTATAAAAGATGGCTGGAGGGTCGGGGTCTCATTCTTGGCATTTCTTGGAAAGGCAGCCACCAGGGGCAGTGGGACACAGCAAAGGAGCAGCACAGCCTGGATCATGGGGGGACAGCAGAGCAGCCCTGCTGGAAGGAAGCAGTGCTCAAGTTGGGAAGTGGAGAAAGGATCAGAACAAAGAGACACCAAGACTGGCCAGGGCTAGGAAGTCTCTTAGCCCTTGCAATTACCATGGAAATAGCTTCACTCCCACTTTTAGAGGCTACAGGAGATCCTCATCTGCTCATGAAAAAATAAAATAAAAAGTCAAAGCAACAGGACAATCCAAACCCATCCTTGATTTAGGAGCCTCCCTGACCTGAATGGCTATTTTCGGACTCTCACCTTTGCCCTACCTCAGCTGGAAGCACAAGGGAGCAAGAAAGCTGACGTTTCCAAGAATGGGTAAGAACATAGTATTTGCAGTATTTATCCGCCCTTTTCCTGCCTAGATTTTGTCTTCTTCTCTGCCCCATGTCAACAAGCTGGCTTTTCTTCCTTTGTGGCTCCTCCTTCTTCCTGCTGCATACTCTCGTCATCCTAAGAATTTATCCAAGAAAAAGGGCCTAGAGGTAAAAATGTTTTTGTGTGTCTTCTGTAGGGAAAGGGGGAAAGCAGAAGAAAAGGGAAGGTTGTTGGTGTTTTTTTTTTTGAGACAAGAGTCTCACTCTGTCGTCCCATGGCATACGCACTGGCGTGCTCAGCTCACTGCAACCTCTGCCTCCAGGGTTCAAGCGATTCTCCTGCCTCAGCCTCCCGAGTAGCTGGGATTACAGGTGTGTGCCACCATGGCTGGCTAATTTCTGTATTTTTAGTGGAGACGAGGTTTTGCCATGTTGTCCAGGCTGGTCTCAAACTCCTGACCTCAAGTGATCTGCCTGCTTCGGCCTCCCAAAGTGCTGGGATTACAGGCTTGAGCCACTGTGCTGGTCTGTTGGTCCCTTTTAACCCTAAAATTTTTAAGTTCTTCTGCTTTCAAGAGCACAGCAGGGGAAGGGCTGGCAAACTTAGACAGCTTTACAAGTCAGACTGAGATCAACTTTTAATCTTTATGTGTTTAATTTAATACCAAACACAAAGCAAACATGTTCATCATCTAGAGTACTATATTCCAACCCTACCTCAAATGCAGGAATGGGGCTCTATCTGGTATCCAGAGGATGATCATAGGAAAGAAAATGAGGACAGAGGCATCTGGTATCTTCTAAAAGTGGTTTCTAAAACCCCCCACCTGTCATGTCATAAAACTCCCCTCCTGGTGCTGTGACCCACCTCCAAGAGAAAGCCACAAGGAACAGACCAATAAGAGGGGTCCAGGGAGCTTTCTGTATTTCACTCACTCCTCTTATTTGCTAAGGAGCTCTAATAACCAAAAGAAATGGTTCTTAGAAGAGGAGGAATAAATCTCCAGAGAGCTGCTGGGGCATACTGATAAAAACTGGGAGAAACAAAGACTGATAGTAGAGAAGTCCAATACTGCTGCTGAAGTTTCTCAGCCTAAATCCATGGAAGAGCCCAGGATTTTACTGCTCTGTCCAGTAAGAGGAGTTTCTGGGTCCTGTATGACCCTTCCAACTCTGACTTAAATGCACCATCTAAAAATCTATCTATCTCTACCCCTAGGCTTCTTAGCTCTTCAGTCATCTTCATCATCCTCAATCTGAAATCGTTTCTTCTTCTGGAAACCTGGAGCTCCCAATTCTGGTGCTGTGGGAACAATAGGGGCGAGAGACAGAGAGAGAATATCTAAATATGTTCAGGGGTAAGGAGGTTGGTAGAGTTTGTCTTCAGGATTAGAGAAGAAAAAGGTCCCACCAGATTGCCTACCTCTGTTCCTGCCCTCATCTTCATCCTGTTCCTCATCACTGTCCAGCAGTTGTCGCTTCTTGGGTGCTGCCTTCAGCTGCTCTTTACCAACAACAGTGTCTTCCTCTGCAATGACTGTAAACGGCACAAAAAAAGGAACTCGATCCTCATATTCTCAAAATACCCTGCCAGCCCTCTAGACCAACATGCTGACAAGTTAATACTCAGAAGATGGCTGTCGCACTATTACCCTCTGGGGACACCAGGCCTGCTTTCTTCTTGCGGGCTAGCAAGAGAGCCCTTAGGGCTTGAGCTCGGTGCTCTTTACGGTGCTCCTCATCAGAGTCTTGCTCTCCAGGGACTTCAGACTGTAGCTGTGGCTGCAGCTTCTGTTCCTCCTCTGGTTGACTCAAAGAAGCTGCTACCCTCCGGAGCTGGGTGGGACTCAGCTTGGCTGGAATTCGCCAGAAGGTTTCCTACAGGGCCCAAGAAGTTGAAAAGGGAAAGGACCAGCCTCTTGTTGCCGAGTTTGATATTCATTCAGTAAATATGACCCAACATTGGTAGAGATCCACAAGGGCTGTGAACTCTACTTATTATAATACTTATTTATCCAATATATTCCCAATGCCTAGCACAGTGCCTGCTACATTAGGAGGTTTCCAGTAACTATAGGTTTTTTCGGTGGTGGTTTTTTTTTTTTTTTTTTTAATGAGAAGGGGTCTGCCTCTGTCACTCAGGCTGAAGTGCGGTGGCACAATCGTGGTCCACTGTAGTCTCCATCTCCTGGGCTCAAGCTATCCTCCTGCCTCAGCCTCTTGAGTAGCTAGAACCACAGGGGTACACACCACCATGCACAACTATTTCATAATTTTTTGTAGAGACAGGGTCTTGCTATGTTGCCCAGGCCAGTCTCAAACGATCCTCCCACCTCTGTTTCCCGAAGTGCTGGGATTACAGGCATAAGCCACTGTGCCTGGTTATAGCTGTTAATTGAATAAATAAATATATAAATCCTGGGGATATAAAGGTGAATCAGGTATGACCCTTGCCTTCAAATAACTCACAATCCAATTGGAAAAAGAACAAATGTGCCATAATATTACAGGATTTTTTTTTTTTTGAGGCAGAGTCTCGAACTGTTGCTCAGGCTGGAGTGCCGTGGCAAAGCAATCTCAGCTCACTGCAACCTCAGGCTCCCAGGTTCAAGCAATTCTCCTGCCTCAGCCTCCCAAGTAGCTGGGACTACAGGTGCCCACCACCACACCAGGCTAATTTTTGTATCTTTAGTAGAGACAGGGTTTTGTCATGTTGGCCAGACTGGTCTCATGACCTCAGGTGATCTGCCTGCCTCGGCCTCCCAAAGTGCTGGGGTTACAGGCATGAGCCACCGCACCCAGCCGATACCACAAGATTGAGCTGTATCAGGGGAATGAACAAATTGCAGCTGCAAAAGTGATTATTTTTACTTCATACATTGAAAGAATAACAGAGACTGCTTCTCTGACAAGGTGACAATTGAGCAGACTCTCGAAGACTGGGTAGAGGTCCATCAGTAAGACAGATGGAGTGTGTGTATGTCACCTTGTGTGCATGGTTGCAGCCAGCCTTCCAATAGAGGGACTGGCTGATTAACCATTTGGAGGCAGGAAAAATCCTACCAGGGTGACTATGATGTAAAGTAGGTGTGTGAGTGGCGTGGCTGTGAGGCTGCGAAGGTTGGCCAAGGGTGGGCATGCCATTTGGAGTTTGTGGATTCTGTCCCGCAAGCAGTAAGGAACTATCAAGGGCTCTGGACACGGGAGTTGACCCTCCACGTCCACAGGTTCTGAATCTTTGGATTCAAAATACTGTGGATTGACAATATTCTGAAAAACAACAACAACAAACAACAACAACACAACATTAAATACAACAACAACAACAACAACAACACAACATTAAATAATAATATACAGCCTGGGCAACATGGCAAAACCCCATCTCTACAAAAAATTAGCTGGGAGTGTGACATGGGCCTGTAGTCCCAGCTATTCAGGAGGCTGAGGTGGGAGGATCACCAGAGCCTGGGAGGTTGAAGCAACAGTGAGCCGAGATTGAGCCACTGCACTCCAGCCTGGGTGATGGAGACTGACACACACACACACACACACACACACACACACACACAATACAGTATATCAATTATTTACCTAACATTTACAGTATAACAAATATTTACTTAAAATTGTATAGGTATTACATGTAATCTAGAAATGATTTAAAGTATACAAGAGCATGTACATAGGTTATTCACAAATACTACAAAAAGGGACTTGAGCATCTGTAGATTTTGGTATCTGTTGGGGGGTCCTGGAACCAATCCCCCTCAGATACCAAGGGACAACTATAATAAAAATATATTTTAGAAAGATAAATCTGGGGGCAGTATGGAAGACGAATTTAGGGGAAGAGGAGATTAGAGAGAGGAAAAGAAGACTAACAGAATGGCTGCTGCCGGAATCTTGTTCAGAGATGACAAGGCAATGAGGAGGACCAAGATGACAATGAGGACGATGAGGAGGAACACCATGACAGTGGGGAAGATCATGGTGGCAACTACAGTGAAGAGGAGAAGGAGATATGTTTGGAAATAGGACTAACAAGCCTTGGCTGACACGGTAACTGGCAAATGTACCTGCCCAGAGGCGGGGGGCCGAACCCCTAGCTTGCGCAACAGCTCCTGAAACTGTTCGTTTTCCATGGCTTCCTCATTTTCCTCTGTGAGTGGCACCAACGGGACTGCCTGAGAGCAGCCTAAGACAGGGTCAACAGTCATATGGTGGTGACACGAGGGAAGAACTGATCCTCCGTCCCATGACCAGGTCTCCAATAGCCCCCAGGGCTCCAGTCCTCCTAAAAGCATCATCTGTCCACTCACCATCCTCTTCCCGATCATCAGCTGCTCGCATCAGGCAGTTCTGGAGCCACAGTAGTGGGGTAGAAAAGCCTAAGGAAATGAGGGAAACTTATATTTGATCCTACTCCCAAGCCCTCTACCTGAGACATCTCTCCCAGCCAAAGTCCTCACCTTCCTGATGCAGGCTTTGACCAAGGTTTTCAGTTGAAAGGACTGAGCTACCCTGGACTTGTTCTGCTTCTGAGCCCCCTTCCTCCTCCTCTTCGCTCTCTTCCTCTGGCAGGTTTTCCTCTTCTTCCAGATCTTCCTGGCGAAAATCTTTCAGGGACTCCGCTCTACTGGGCTAAAATTCATTGTGGGTTAGGGAAATGAAAATGAAGGCAACACAAGGAACTTAATGGAGTCTCTTGGTTCCTGACCCTGACCCCCCATGAAGGACCTGCTCAGAACACCCTCAGGCAGGAAGAATCTGGTTGGACTGCTTCTAAGGAGCACTTCAAGGGGAGCGGGCCCATGCCAGCAGAGCCAGGGTCAGATTGTTACCAAGCTGGAGGATGCCAACTTTTTCCGCCGCTTCTTGTACAGCTCCCGCCGCTCGGCCACCAGCCCCAGAGCCAAAAGTTTATCCACTATTCGGGCCCGTGAGCGTTTGGCTGTGATATTCTTCATGATATGACCCAGGACATCTATAAAAAGCAAGCATGTGAATACCCAAGGGAAATAGGGGAAAGAGATGAGTAAAATAAATCAGAGGTCTCTGGAAAGAGGGTACCTCAATCATCCAAAAATGACATGAATATAGTAAGTGAACAGAAGGGATGGGATAATCTTTCCTTGGAAATAAAAGGCGCAACAAAATAAATGGATAGCTTAGCTTTCATCTCAAAGGTCCCCTGAACTTCCACCTCACTTACCATCTGAGTCCCGGAACTCCTCAAAAAGCCGCTGTAGCTCCAGCTCCTGATCCTCCGTCCATAGCACAATATGGGTTCCTTTCCTGATCAGAGAGGTGTCAGTGGAAGAGGAAGCCCAGGGAGTGAACACAATGTCACATCCCAAAAGCCTCCAGAGCATACACCTCTCTACCTTTGGAAGTCCTTGACACTGTCAGCCAGTCCAAGCTGTACTAGATGGTGGATGATCTGCTTGCGTGTTCGGGGAACAGTATTCAGGTGGACCAAGATGACTTCCACCACATCCTGCCCTGGTGTGGAGAAGGACTGAGGCAGTAAAAAAGGTCCTGCAGCTCAGGCTGCCCTCCTCACAAACTTTCCAGATCCTAAGGCCTCTCACCTTCCACGTCCTTATGGGCGAGGTACAGCTCCCGAAGACGAGCCTCCTCTTTGGGGCTCCACGCAGGGGCTCTGCGACTGGAAGACCTGAATGGTAAAAGGAGAAAGGGAGCATATAGGTTCTTGGCCCAAAAAGAGGAGACCAAAGACCTTCTCTGATCAGTTCTGAAAGGAAAAAGAAGTGCGAGGCAGGTAATTGAAAGAGGCCAGCCGGCAGAGGCCTGTGGTGTATCTCCTTCCCCTTGCTTTCTCTCCATGTAAGAAACTAAAAGTCAAACTAAAGATTTTCCAGGTTGGACCAATGGAACCCTGACCATTCTGACTCCAGGGACTGAGAATATTATGGGAAAAAGAGACTAAGTGTGAGAGAAGAGGGGCTGAGATACTAAGGGAAAGAGGACAAACATTTCTACAAATCCTCATGGTTTCCCAGCATGTTTGGGAGAGGTCGCGCATAGATTCTCTCTGGGCAACCACCTAGCTCCCAACAGTGCCCACCTCTATGGAAGCTGGTGATGGAGAAGGCTGCAGTCCCTGCTCCTCTCTTGGATAACCTTAGTTAAAGCATTTCACCTCCTGGGCCTGTTTTCTCACCCATGATAGAGAAAGAAACAGTGGACCCAATGACGTACAAACTCTTAAGGCTTTGACATTCTGTGACTGCATCAACCTTCCCTACTCCCACCCATCCTTTGCCAACTTCAAGCTCACCTGTCATCCAGGGAGCCATAGCCCTCAGTCATCTCTCGAACCACAGCTGTGTTCTTCCAGAACAACAGCTCCACAAAGGCTTTTTGGTTGACTGCAGCCAGTGCAAAGAACTTGGCCAGGATGTATTTGGCAAAAGTCACTAGCTCCTGTAGGAGAAGGAGGTTACTATGAGTCAGCCTCTGGTTCAACACAGACCTGGACCTGGCCCTCTAGGTATTTTCTCTATAGCTGTTCCTAGCTGCCCCCTCCTCACTCACTCTCTTCTGTCCTTCTCCATGTAGCTCCTTCAACCTGCCCACCTACTTCCTCATTGTTTTCCCATCTCCCAGCCTTTGACACCTCCCAACATCTTTTTTTTTTTTTTTTGAGACAGAGTTTCGCTCTTGTTATCCAGGCTGGAGTGCAATGGTGTGATCTTGGCTCACTGTGACCTCCGCCTCCTGGGTTCAGGCAATTCTCCTGCCTCAGCCTCCCAAGTAGCTGGGACTACAGGCTGCGCCACCATGCCCAGCTAATTTTTGTATTTTTAGTAGAGATGGGGTTTCACCATGTTGACCAGGATGGTCTCGATCTCGACTTCGTGATCCATCCTCCTTGGCCTCCCAAATTGCTGGGATTATAGGTGTGTGCCACCGCGCCCAGCCGACAGCTCCCGGCATCTTCTATCTCCTGAAGATTATTTATTTACCCGAGGGTTCCCATACCCTCCTAGACCCCCATTCCTTGTTATCCCCTCACTTTGTAGGCTCCAGCAGCAGGGTCACTAAGCAGATGATTGAAGAGGCAGAAGACTGACAGCTGAAAAAGCAGGGCTTCCATTTTGAGGTCATGGGCCAGCCGGTGCAGCATCTTCACAATGCAATGGTTAGTGTGAGCACTATTCTGCTGGTAACTCCGCAGCAGCAGCACATAGGCTCGAACGACAGCTGAACATGCGAAGCTGCACCAAAACAGGGAGGGAGAGGATGTCAGCGTAGGGAAGACATAGCTCGTCCTCACAGTCACACAATCACCACTCTAGGACCAACTCAGGCCTCTCAGCCCGCACCGTTTCAGGTAGTCCAGAAAATTGAATTCTTTCTCCGACACCTGGACCACTTGCAACTCCTCCGCCTCCTCCTCCTCCTCCTCCTCCTCTTCCTCTTCCTCTGCCCCTCGTTCCTCTGGGCCCTGCTGCCCTATAGACAGAGGGAGGATTACTGAGTCTCTGTTATGCTGGTGCTGGGAAAGAGCTAGAAGGAGACAGATGTGAAGGGTGGAGACTCACGGGGAAGTGGAGCAGAGAGGATTTGTTTCAGCAACTCAATCTCTTCCTCTGGAGAAATGTCTTGACAGCCAAACACATCTCCTTCAGGCCACACCTCCCTGGAGCACAGACAGAAAAAAGGCTTTACACAGGGGAAAGCTGGCTTTGGAAATTTTTCCTCCTAAGCCACAATTCAATAAAAATCAGGTAAGAACAAAATGCAAACAATCTAAATGTTTGACACCTGGTTGAACAAATGTACATATTCACACAATGGTGTTTTGTTTTGGTTTTTTTTTTTTTGAGACTGGAGTCTTGCTCTGTCGCCCAGGCTGGAGTGCAATGTCGAAGTCTCGGCTCACTGCAACCTCCACCTCCAGGGTTCAAGCGATTTTCCTGCCTCAGCCTCCAGAGATTACAGGCACCTGCCACCATAACCAGATAATTTTTGTATTTTTAGTAGAGATAAGATTTCACCATGTTGGCCAGGCTGGTCTCAAACTCCTGACCTTGTGATCTACCTGCCTCGACCTCCCAAAATGCTGGGATTACAAGCATGAGCCACCGTGGCCCGGCCACACACAATGGTGTTTTAAAGCCATTATCAATTACAGAAATATATTTGATGAGAAATAATGCTCAGGCCGGGTGTGGTCGTTCACGCCTGTAATCCAAGCACTTTGGAGGCCAAGGCAGGCAGATCACCTGAGGTCAGGAGTTCAAGACCAGCCTGACCAACATGGTGAGCCCTCATCTTAAAAATAAATAAATAAAAATTAAAAAATTAAAAAATTGTAAAAAATAAAAAAAGAGAAATAATGCTCACAATATACTTATAAGTTAAAAATTACTATAAATCAGCATGTACAGTATTTCATTTTTGTAAAACAAGGTATATATGACATTTTTATGTGTAACAGAGGAAAAAATCCTCTGGATGGTTACTCACCAAACTGTTAATGATGCTTATCTTTGGCTAGCGGAATTAAAGTAAGTCCTCCCTTAACATCTTCAATAGGTTTTTTTTTTTTTCCTAGCTTTTTTTAATTTTTAATTTTTGTGGGTACATAGTAGGTATACACATTTAGGGGTTCCAATAGGTTCTTGGACACTGCCACATTAAGTGAAACAAAGTATAACAAAACCAGTTTTTTCCTCTTAACATTTTAAGAAACCTACTGCAGCTCATTTCACTCAAAGTCACAATTAACAACAGTTTATTAATGATGTCAAGTGAGGATTTTCTGTATTTTTATTTTTTTCTCAATTAACTATGCTATTTTATGTTTTTCAAAAATAAAACAAAACAAAAAAACAACCAACCAACCAAAACGCCCCAGGAGTCAGATGGTATAGAGTCCCAGAGGCTTGATGAGATAACTCTCTTTTGAAGACTGAGAACCCTGTACCACAGTGATGGCTTCCTCCTTTCCGCAAAGCACAAGAGGAAGAGCAGGCAGTGTTCTTACCGGGCAGACCTCAGGAGAGTCAGGGCCTGTGGGGCCTCACCAGCCAGGAGACAGTCTTGGATCCGCAGCATGGCTTCTGCCCGCTGCTCCTCCACTGGCATCTCTGAGGCCGCATCAAAGGGAACCACGGAGTCCACACTGAGCTTAGGATTCTAGAGATGGATAAAGCTATGGGAGTGGAAGGAGTAGAAAATCCAGACTGTATACCCTGAGTACTATTCTCAAAAAAGACAGGGTTTCTGTAACCCCTACCTGGGTATAGCACTGTAGCTGCTCAGCCAGGGCGGGCCACACAGCCTCCAGTTCTTCTGGGCTAGATGAGATATTACCAGAAACAATGGCCTGGTCTAGGACCTTCTTCTTCTTCTTCTTTCTCTTCTTTCGTTTGTTCTATGGGGAAAGAATTGTATTAGGATGTCAAGAGAGCTAAAGAGGCCTTTTCCCCATCAATGTCTTTTCTATTACAAAACTAATTAACTGGACATGCACAGAGTGACCATTATGTGCTATCCATTGGTAACAGAAAGCAATAGTGAACAGCATATTTCCTCGCCTTTGAGGAGCTGGTACTCTAGTGGCAGAGACAGGAAGTAAAAAGGTAATTCTATTATAGTGTGGTTAAGAGCTATAAGGTGAGTGAACATAAGATACAATGGCAAAACTCCTGACCCATTTCCTGAGTTCAGAGGTTTGCCAAAAGCAGCGCTATCTCAAGAAGTCTACAGAATAGACAGATGCTATGAGGATCAAATAAGACACATGGAAAAGCTTCATAAAATGCAAAGCACAAGCTGGGCGCGGTGGCTCACGCCTGTAATCCCAGCACTTTGGGAGGCCGAGGCGGGTGGATCACAAGGTCAAGAGATCGAGACCATCCTGGTCAACATGGTGAAACCCCGTCTCTACTA